TAAATTATTGAAATTATTAAATTCCAATTCAATGTAGTATTTGCTAAGGTTCATTATTTGGTATACACTCTAAGAGAGAGAATAATAAGAGTAGAGAGAGTAATAAGAGAAATATTATTACAATATATTGTAATAAGGAAAAATCTAAATACTTCTTACTTGCATATTTGAAAACTTCAAATAAGCAATAATTTTAATAATAATTTTATAGTTTTGATTAAAAATTTAAATAATTAAAAATAATCAATGAAATTACCAGCAACATTCCGCGAAAATAAAATTGTCAATAAGCAAATAAGATCTCCGTATGCAATTCATAGCAAATATAAGCAGCAGTTATGGCACGTGGGGATTTTAATCATATTTACTTCGCCTGATAAGAATTATAAAATGCATGGCAGCTAGTACGCGCGTGTATGCGATACATAGGATGTATCACATAAAGTGTTAGAAGATGTTATCTCCGAAACTATTAAAGATAGCGATGGAATTTTTTTAGCATTTTTTATGTGATTTGTTGGGACTTTTTAAATGACAGATAAAGTATTGCTATTTCCTAAAAATCTCTTAAAAGAGACTAAAAAGATGATACTTATTGTTAATATTTTTAAATGGAATAGTATATGAATTCCTGTATTAAATAGATCTTTTTAATATAATATTTACTTAATTAATGTTTTTTTCATATTTTATAAAAGTTATGATAAAAAATATTTTTCAGTGACTTGAAGACTACTGGATGTTTTCATATAAATTCATTTTATTTATTTTCTAATAAATATTATATATAATAATTGTTCAAAATATAATCTATACATTAATTTCCGAACATTTTGTTAATTTTTTAAAATATTTTCTTGAATATTAACTTTTTTAGCATTTGCATAATATTAATAACATATTCACAGTTTCATTAAAATTTTGGCATCTTTTAAAGAATCATCTACCTCACTTATTGCAATTATTTTTCTATCAAACCAATCAAGTTGACAGATATGTCGATAAATTCTTTGAAGAAGTGTTTGTAAACAAGCTTCACATAATTTAAGAAACAATCTCCAACAGCGAAAAATGATATGAAAGAATTAACAAATGTTTGGAAATGAATGGATAATATTTAATATTTATTATAATAGTTTTTGTAACATTTATTAAGAAAAATATTAAATAATTTTATATTAACAACCATGGTTTTCAAATCACTAAAAAATATTTTTGTCAACTTTTGAACTATAAAATATGAAATAACGTTTTAAATATTAAAAAAAAATTCGAATAGATTATATTAAAAGAGATCTATTAAAAAATACAAAAATTTATATACTATTTCATTTAAAAAAGGAAATAGTATATTGCCTTTTTTTAAAAGACGATGAAAAGAAAGTACTTCTCTATTTAATAGATCTGAACAAACTGAATAAATTGCAAAAAAATTTTTCTCGCTTAAATAATTTTGGAGAAAACACTTTGTAATATTTTATGTATGTGCTATAATTCCGAACCTTTAATCTTCTAATACACATAACATTGATTTATCTCGATTCATAATTTATTTCGCAACTGAGATTTCATGTCATCATTGAACTTCGAATAAGAACATTGTAACATATTTGGAGAGATAAATAGTTGCTAATGTCAAAGTTTATCCTATGACATGACTCAAAAATATTTCATTTTTTTACATTCCACATACACAACATCATCGAAAACAGTTGTTTCTTCATAATTTCAAATTTCTAATTTGAAAGCTATTTATAACTAAACTGCATATATGCAAAATATATCAGTTAATCTTCAAATTAATGTGTATATTGCAAAATTATGTTAGATTAACTTTTATTTGTAAATATATACCAAATACAATGTTTATTGATCTTTAATCTATAGACCACTATCTAAATCGAACTCATATATCTTTATGCAAATTTTTAATTTTGTATAAATTAAATAATAGGAGAATCTCACATATATCAATATAAAGAAAAAAAAAGTGTTCCTGCTTTAGAATTGAAATAATTATCTCCTTATGAAATTGTAATTGAATACTATAATTTTGTTATTTTGAAGCTTTTCACTCTTGTAACTGTTATGTATGTATGTTTATGCGTAAGTACGTGCGTTTGAGAGTGGATGTGTATAATGAGTCCAAAATTTCTATTGAATATTTAGAGAAAGATTTCTATTGAAATCTTACATACTTATATGTATACTGGAAGAAACATAGCAGCTTTTTACTTTCATATGTAATATTACTATATAATATATCCACTGTAATATGTATAAAATAGAAAAATTGATTTTTTTTTATGCAAAAATATCGAAAATATAAAATAATTTTTTATTCTTAAAATATTATGTTTTTGAGGAAAATATAATTTTGAGAATTAAACAAATAATAATGCTTTCTCTTTTTCTTTTAACATAAAAGTTTAAACCTTTCCTCTTATTGTTGATCTCTCTATAAGTAATTAAAAAATATATAAATAAAACAGAAAAAAAATATCAGAAAAAAATATTAAACTATTTTACTTTGTTCTTAATTTTTTCGGAGAATTTCTAGAGCAATTAAAAAATTAATTAGCAATAAGTACATCTACGAAAATGTAACTGCATGTAATAAAATAATAACAAAATTTGAGATAAATACAAACATCTGAAAAGAATCAAGATATATAATACATGATTAAAAATCCATGAAAATTATTTCTGTAGCTAATTTCCATTTTTTTATTGCCATCAGAGAATCTCTTTTCTCAAGATTAAAAAAAAATTAAGACTTAAAATTAAAATTGTTAATTGTTAGATAATCTATCAACTTTGACATTAATATTAAACATATATACGGTAATATTTAAATATAAAAGAAAATCTAGACGTTAATCGCTTATTGAAAACCATAAAATGATTGATTACATTGTAGAATATTTGCAAAAAAAAGCAACAAATGTGAAAGGAAATGCCGTTTTTGATAATTCTCATCGCGCTCGAAAGAATGAGACAACGGGTGGTACAAATCGAGATAGAGGTAAAGGGTTAAGCGAATAAACATCATTAATTTGTACGCGGGAACTTGCAACCGATTCTGGGGCGGAGGCTAAAAGGTCAACATTACCCGCGGTTACGTGTATACATGGCAAATACCAAGCACCCCGAGGGTATACGTTCATCCTGATCGAAGCTCTGAGTTTTCAGACGGTCGGAGAACTGAAAGATCCCTCTATGGCCGACCTAATTGTCTAATTGGCAAATAAATCCCATTGTTTTCCGATCATGCGATAGATGTACAATGTACAGCACTTGATTTAACACAATCCTTCTTCCGAATTTTCAGTGATTCAAAGCCTTTAAAGGTTTCTTTAAACGTGAACAACATGCAGTGAGTAAAAATATAAAAAAAATTTTTTTTTAAGTAGAAAATAAACATTGACAAAATTTGATTTTTTTCTTTATTTGTTTAAATGCAATATTACGTTTTATATTTTTTTATTAATATAATTAAAAAAATTGAAGTTATTATATGTTTATCTTTTTTCGAAAACAATTTTAATGAGTTAATAACATTCTTATATCAAATTACATCAAACATGACATGAATTTTTAATTAGATACATAACAAACATTTTTATTATACATCTAATAAAAAATTATTATTCGAATTATATCATGTTTGATATTATTGTAATCTTTGTGAAACAGAAAAAGAGAAAAATATATTTAAAAGATAAAAAAACTAATGAAAGAAAAATTCTAATAAAAAAACAAACAATCTCTTAATATGTTAAAACAAGAATAAAAAAGAATTCTTATTAGCATATATTTTGAAATAACTAGATGATTACAAGTATGAAAATTCGGCCTTGTAAAAGAGAAGAGCTTCTAAAATATATTCTTAAAATAGGAACCCGTATACAGGTTGAGAAATGAACTAATAGCATAGCTAACTGGGAAGAGGCAGAGTTGAACGATTATCGGACAATAGTTTGTTAGTGAGGTTCACCTGCTGTATTGTTCTCCGAGAAACGTGGATTCAGCTCTAGCGTACGAATTATTCTGTTTCCATGTGTAAATCACATAATACACATATCTATTTAAAATCCGAGAAATCGTTTCGCGCTATCTTCTTAAGTACAATCTATAATAATGATAATAATTTACAATAATGATGGAGAGAGGCATGTATCACATAACTATATTTTTGCATTTAATGATAAAACGGATGTAAATCTAAAAAAGTTCAAATATATTATAATGATAATGAAATATGTTTCTACATATATAATGATAATGAAATATGTTTCTACATATAATAAAACATAAAATCGTCAATTTTTATTAATTTTAATATAAGAAAAAATATAATATTTAAGAGAATGTTACTATTTATTTCATATAAATGCTTTATTTATGTATATACGAGATTGATTTCTCTAATCAATATATTTATCAAGAGCATTAATAATATTGAAAAAATTGCTCTAAGAAAATAACTATTATTTCTTCTCTCTTCGAAACCATATAATTGAATCATATAATCTGTACAGAAATGTACAAATTTTTTATATTTTGTCTTTTTATATAGATATTTAAATATTTTATAAATCAAATTCTTTAATGTTGTTATTAAATTTGTATTATTTTTCGCGCAAATTACTATATATATTTATATTATATATTTTTGAAAAATAAAACATTTTTTAACATATTCTTCAATTTTTAATTTTTTTTCGTAGCATTAGTTTTTTAATTCAGAAATTTAAATTATGTTCAAAAATTGTATATATATTTTATAAAAATATATAGAATTTGAAAATTAAGAAAATAATTATTCATATTATACATGTAATTATAAACTATTAAACTGATGAAATTCAAAAAAATTGAAGAAATGTTTCACAATGAATTCCATAAAATTTTTTAATAAGAAAAGAAGGAAAAGAAAAAGAGCGTATATATAAAAATAAATTTTTATAAATTATATATTACTATAAATATATATAGTCTCAGAATAAACAAAATATTAGCAAGTTTGCTAGCAGATTGGCGTCAACGATTAATCAATATTCCCATTGAACTTGTGTTCTGTCATTAATCATAACTACGTTGCAATTATTCCAAGGCCTGTTTGATCTCTTCAAAATTATCATCATAATTTGTTGAGTATATTTCTGTCTACATTGCATATTCTGAACATTATTTAATCAGTTCTATTTCTGTATCTAATTTTTTCATTTAACAAATTTTTTCATACTTTTGCAAAATTATCATCTCGACGGACATTTGGCTCTTAAATATATACGTACACACATACACTTACGCGCGCAACATACTAATATACAGGCTGTCATTTTAATGTGAATAAATTTAATAACATGTCGAAAACATAATGCATTAAAAAAATTTTTCAAATCAAAAGTTGTAAAATCTAGAGAAGCCATCAAATAAATCTAGATTTTGAGTCCGGAGCTCAATTTGGGTGCCCACAATCGGACATCCTATATAAAACATATATAGATGTTCCTAAAATAATATATACATTATATATATATATATATATATATATATATATATATATATATATATATATAATGTATTAATAATATATTTATAATGTATTAATAATATATCATATAATTTTTTATTTTTCAAATAATCATTTTCACTCATTATATATAAATAAAAATAATTTACTCCCTAAAGGCATTTTTTACTTTACAAGCAAAAAGTCAAAATCGCACTTATGTATTATAAATTGCATTGTAGTTCATCTATTGTAATTTCATACAGAATATTTACATGTTTGCATCTTATTTGTTATACATTTACTTATATATGTTTTTTATATCGCGCATATATATTTAAATTACATATATTAATATATATATTTAAAAAATACAGTAACTTACTTCTGATGCGTATTATTTTAAAGGCCCCATAATTCAAAAATGACAAATTAACAATAAATTATTAAACTGCATTCAATCATCCATCATTGATCAATAGTTAACCATTTATCTGTGACGTTTTCTATTTGCTTAAAAAGAATTGGATTTCTTAAACGGATTTTTAATTCTAGTTTTCCTCCTGTTACTTTTCTGCCATCCTTAAGCTGAAATAATATAATAAATTTTCTTTCTTATTCTGGACATAGAAAGAGTGCAAAATAAATTATTTAATTACCGGAAAGGAATCATGTAGAGTACACTGGGACTCGAGAGGTTGTAACTTAACCGTCACTGTACCCAATAGACTGTCACTTCGGAGGAAACCTCTGCAACATTGCAGAATATATTACAAGAAATATAAAAAAATACATATTAATATAAAAATATAAAAAAGAAACACATCAAGCATGTTTTCATGTTGCAGAAATTCAGATATACGTTGTTACAGATTGCTCATGTAATACAATGGAATCTATCATTATTACATAATACAATTTCACATATATAATTCATTCAATGATTTACAAATATTACAATAATTTTGCATATACATTTATTCTTGCAAACGCTATTGCTTCTTTTTATAGGAAGAACATAGTATGTATAATAATGCCAGGATTGCTCTTAAAAATGTATCATCAAAATCTCTGTGCATGTAACAAATTGTATATTCTACAGGATTTGTAGGATGCCGTACCTGGGATGAGAGCAGCATAAAATGGGATTCAGTGAGCATCTGCAAGCAACGTTCTATTTTTTATGATACTCTCACAGTACAGCTTCTTAATATTAATATAATTAATATTTAACTGTCCTCTCATATTTAACTAGCTTCTAACATCTAACATGTATATATATAAATTCAAGCAAAAAAGAGGAATAATTAATTTTTATTTTTATAGTTAAATTTTAAAAAATATAGCAATTACATTACAATCACTAAAGACATTGATTATTTGTCTGAGAGAAATCCAACTTACTTCTTTTAAACAAGAAAGAAATACAGATATTTGCAAAAGGAAGAGCATTATATAAACTATCATACACTATAACACTATTATACAAAATACTATTATGAAAACAAAAAAATAAAACTTTTTAAATTAATAAAAAATTATTGTATATACTTGCTATTATTGTATACAATAGCAAGTAACTATTAATGTGTGTCTGTAATAAAATTATTTCCCAGACAAATAAAAACAATTTTTCTATACAAAATTATAGGTTGTTTTTTATTCCAGATTTTTAATTTATAGGTTTTTAAATGTGAATTTGTTAAAAAAATTAAACTCAATATTTCTTTCAAAAGACAAGAAATATTTCTTTCTTTCTCTTCCATCTTTCTTTTCCCCTTTCTGCTCTCTTTCCCCCATTTCTATCACCTTACCTGCTCCTTTTCTCTTTTTTTCATAGAAAAATGTTATAATTTCCTAAATCTAAAACACTTATATCTTAGATCTTTTCATAAACTTCATTAATTTGTTATAACAATCAATAGTTTAAGATAATTTAATAATATTCTGGATATGCTATAAATGTTATAAATTATAAAATGTGATATTAAATTAATGTATGTCAAATTTAACATTTTCATGCTCACTAATGTGGTCAAACTATTTCATAATCATGAAATTTACGTGCATAATGCAATTGTGAATTTTTAACAGTATTTTATCAAGCAGTAATACATTAAAATTCAAATTAATAATAAAAACTAATGTTAAACGCTATTGATATTAATATTGAATTACCCTTTTGCCCAAACTTCACATTTTAAAGCATGCCGTTTAAAGGCTCTTTGGCATTGTCTAGAAGTACGATTTATAATCCCATTCAGAGGAAATACACCTTGGTATTCAGGATTGGCAGAATCTTTGATTGTCGATGTTCTATCTGTAGGATGATTATCCGACGGAAATGGAAATTCAAACATAACATATGTGTCTGCCTCTCGAGGATAATTGATTCCTCTAATTATAGAAATTTCGATATCACTGTCATTTAAATCAATGGAACACCTGAAAAAATTTAATTTTATTCAAATTTAATTTTAATAATACGAATTTATTTTCTCTATAATCTGGCAAAGAAGATATTGAACAAAATGATTGAAATAATAGTGTACATTTTTTCATGAATAAAAATATTAGTTATTTAATTTTTTCTTATTGTAAGCTTTTCTTTTTAAAAAAAAAGATAAAAAGTCTACTTGTTAATGAAATATTATATTTTCTGTTCACAAATTGTTATAAATTTAACTAAAATATAATTAAACAAATCGACATTATGGATAAATAAATTAATTCTAGAAAAATGTTTAGAAAAATTAATTCAAAAAATTATTATTTGTTGGTGTAATATTTTGTTCTAATTAAAAAACACATGACAAGCATTTAAAAACCATCCCTAAGAAACATTTTGGAAATTATTTTTAAGCTGGAAAATACATTGCATTAAACATAATATGGATTTTTTAAAATAAATAATTTTTGAATTGTTTTGTAAACTTTTAAAAATATACTTTTTTCTGATATCATCTCTTCTCATTTCTATTTATCCATATACATTTATATTTGAATCAATAGTAAAGAAAATAAATATATACTAACTGTACTATTTGATAGGTTTTCACTTCATAATGATGTTGCGGTGGTGGCAGTAAATCGCGTTTTCGAACTCTTAGCATATCTAAATCTCGCGTGTAACCAAGTGCTAGTCGTTCCCATCTATTATATGCAGGAACATCTCCTAATGCTTTTGAATGATCTCGTGTAGATAAACACCACTGCGAAATTAAATAATAAAAAGTTATATAAACTGTACAATATAAATTGTACAATTGTTGGCTTATAATGCTATTGATGGCTTATGTTGATACTCAAGTAGTTTCAATAATTATGTAAAATATATATTTTCAATATTATTCATTACTTTAATCTATTTAACAAAATAAAAATAAAAAAATTTTACTCTAATTTAAATAATTTTAACGAAATCTAGTTAAATAATTATGCACACAGTTATGTAAAATGTATATATAAAGTGTTTCGCGATTAAACGTTTTAACTTTGATCTTCTAATCAGATCTTATTTAAAATGATTTCAAAAATCTGTCCTTAACAGATAACAATTTTGTTCTAAAATATTGTATGTATGTAAGTGTGCATGTGTGTGTTGTATGTTTAGACAGTTAATTATTTTTATTAAAATCCTAAAAAATATTTTATTATTACCTTAATTTGTTTAATTAATTGAGTTTCAAGATTTTCGTAAATTTGATCATTTGTTCCACTCGAGCCTTCCAAAAAATCTTCGGTAGATACTAATACAAAATTTTCATCTTTCTGACTTATACTGAGTTCTACTTTTTCAAGAGGTGACAACGGAATCGAATTCATATCGACAGGTAATCCAGCTTTGCTAGCTTCAATTAAAGGTTGTATCCCTTTAGCTTGCTTTAGATAATCACGCGCCAAATCCATATCCCCATCTTGTTTTGCATTTAAAGCAGCTTGCTTTAATTCGCGCTGCCGCAGTTGTAATTGTATCATTTGCTTTTCCGCACGCGATGTAATTCTGTGACTTGGTTTTTGTCCTAATGAAAAATATAGTAAAAGAAATATAATACATAAATATTATATATATATATATATATATATATATATATATATACACATATATTTAAATTAAAAAAATTTAAATTTAATTTAAATTTAAAATTGGAAAAACAACTTCAAGAATATGTAAATTTAATAGTATAAAAATAATTAAAAAATTAAGTTTACAATAACAAAAAGTTTATTTAATCTAATTTTTTTCCAAAGTTATAAACTTATTTATGTATACTTCAATAAGTATTATAAATTAAATTTAAAGTAGAAAAGCATTTATTCAATCAAAATTTTGCTTATATTTTGTGAAATAAATAAATATATATATTTCATTATTCTTTACCTATTTTAGGAGAAGGAACGGGCGCTTTTGGTGATATAGGTTTTGTTACAATATTATCTTCAGGTGATTTGGGCTGAGCTACAGATTGTGCAGTGGTATCATTATTTTGCGAAGTAGACAGTGGTGGAAAACCAGGTGGAACAGGAAGTTCATCTAGAGGTACTGGTTTTCCACTTATGTGTGACTTAATAGCATCTTCAAATTGTTTGCAAATTCTACCATATCTGCGTGCCTTAGAAGTATTACCCTCAGCTTCAGCAGCCACTTTTGTTCTCCTGTACACTTCCAAACGTTCTTTAAGAGCACCTTCAATATCTTCAAGACCAAGTTTTGCTTGTGAATCAGCTGTTAATAATAATCCACATTCATGTTAATATAAAATATAATAAAATAAAATATAATATAATATAAATATATGCTTTTTTTATCTACTACAATTTAAACAATATGCAAACAATTATTTCGTACATACAAGTAAATACCAAAGAACAGAATATGGAGATAAATTTGGAAATATTAATTGTTAGTATGTATATATATTTTTATTTTTCCCCATTTCAAAAGCACAAATCGATAATGCAATATTTTTTTTTGCATTTGCAATATTTTTATAATAAATATATATAATTTTTTTTTTATTTTTGCCTGTTATGTGTGTTACCTGTATCTGTAGATTGTTGCTGAATTTCGCTTTCTTCTTTCATCACTGGTGGTACAATATCTGCTGAAGAAGGTAGAGTTGGAGTAGGTGGCATATCTGACAAATCAATCTTCTCACCCGCAGCAACTGCAGCAATAACTATGTCGAACTGTTTCACAGTTTTTACATACTGCAGTGCTTGCTCTTTATTACCCGCCTTCTTCCATGCAACTGCAGCAGTCTTATATTTTTGTTGTTGGTCTTTTAATTTAGTTAAAGCTTCTTGATCAACTGTGACATCTGCCGTTGGTTCAGAAAGACCATCATTTGAAACTGCATCTGACGTAGCAGATGATTCATTAACTTCAGTTGGTGATATTTCTTTTGCTACAAAAAAAGTAATATAGTATTCATAAAATGAAAATTGATGTCATAAATTTTCAAACAACGCTTAAAAAATAGAGCTATGATAAAATAATTAATGTGCTTTTTTAAATAACATGATATATTATCATATTAGGTTTTAATTATTTAAAATGTATATTATTTGAATATTAGTACTGAACAGTAATCTTTTGATTTTTTGATAACAATAGATAAATAAAGATAACAATAGCATATGCATATCAAAGAATAAATTACCTGCATTTTTAACTGTAGATTCTGCAGTTGCAGAAGGAGGCAAAAGTGGAGGAATATCAGCTTCATTTATATTTCTGCCTGATTGTGCAGAAACCAACATTTCCTTGAGTGTTTTTACACCTCTGCTATATCTTTTAGCCCTACTAGATTCATTTTCATTTCTTGCCTTTTGTTCAGCTTTTTCATAAATCATTAGTCTTTCTTGCAATAGTTTGGTCATTTCATGCATAGAATTATTTTCTTCTGCAGTAGGTTCATTAGGTTCTGCTTGTTCTTCTACTATTTCAGGAATTTCTGTCTCTTCTGCTATAATTTCATCTCCTGTGAGCATTTGTAATTCTTTCTAAAACAATAAAAAGAATAATATTAAATTCAAGCCTTACACCGTATTAATTATAATGTTGTAGTATAATCAAATATTGTTTATTACATACTAGTAATGTAGGATCATCATTTTCTTCAGATGGTTCCTCATCAGAATTTGTATCCTTCATGGACTCAGCTATCATTTCATCCAAATTTACATTCGTAACAGCTTTACGTGTAACTATAACATTTATATATATTATACAAATGCAAATATAGACTAACAATATAGACTATGCTTTTAATCCAACAATTATAATATAAGATATCCTAAGAGAAACCTAATATTTCTTTATTCAAAATATTCTTATCACAAACATAAACTAGAAACTTTTTATGAAGTTATAATTATTAAAAACCAATGTTCTTTATTTAATTTCATGAGTATAATCTCAATAAGTATCTCTTTCTTTCTTTAACCTTAATAAGAAATTTTTTTCATTAAAATTTTCATAATAGTAACATATATACAAAGAGAGAAATTAGCAAAATGATACAAAAATTTTTCATAAACCATTTTTTTTTCAATATTTTATTTAAATTGTATTATATGTTCATTCATTCAATTTTATTTTACTGCATCTTATATAGATATGGATTTTATATATGAAATTTGTAAAACTTTATTAACTTACTATTGCGTCTACTTTTGTAGCCTGTATCATTACCAGCTGCCAAAGCAGCTAATTCAGCTTCTAAGTCTTCATCGTTATCATCATCTCTTATCGTATTATCATCAATATTGCCCATATTTATATCAGGTACTTCAAAGATGCCAAACTAAACATTATAGATAATGAAAAAGGAAATCCATTACAAACATTACTGACATTTTTATACATAAATCGAGTTTAAAAGGAGACAAATATATTTATATATATATATATATATTTGAGATCCGAAAGAGAAAACTAAAATTATATAGTTTAATTTAAAATATAATATACAAACATATGAATTTCAAAAATATTAGTATGTGAAAAAGACTTTGCACTACGTATTAAGAATATTATTAGTCACCTGTTCTAAGTCACCGACTGGCCTGGGTCGTTTCAATTCTTTTTTCTTGCCAAACATATTAACGGCGATATAATACACAAATGTGTTTAGGAATTCAGACTCATTTGGAAAGAACACTGAAATCTGAAGGATTAAATTGTTATTATAATCGCACACTTTATCAATATATAGACGTAGTAAGTACAGAGAGAAGAACAAGAGACGCCATGATTAAGTCCGTTAAGTATGGCTGGGGAAGGGAGGCCAGAATCACGTGACAGTTTTATTCGATGGCGCATGCGTGACGTAACGATGATGATTACACGTGTATATGAAAACGAGGACTTTAATTATTTAGCGAAATACATATTCAAATGTATATAATATAATATCAGAATTATACACACATTATTCAGTAAATTTTCTCAAAATATATGAATTTTATAAGTGTTAAATTTAGAACGAAATACTTAACCTCACTATGACAACAAAGAAGGAAACATTTGTTCCTATCAGTAAGATTAACTTTTATTTAGATTAATCAATAGTTATTCTTAAAATATAATAAATAATATATTCTTAAAATATAATTAAATGTAATAAATTTATTTACAGAATTACCTTCACATAAATCATTTCAAGGAAAAAATTTGACAGGAACTGAATGTTTTGTATACAATTTAGCTGCAGATATTCATGCAAATATACAACAATGGAACAGTTTTCATATTCAAGGAGTCAACTATTTAAAGAACATAATACAAGTAAAGCGTGACAAAAATTATTCTGTAGTTTTACAAGATCTATGTGACAAGTTAGAAAATGTTTGTGATAATCTGGTAAGGTACTTCCTTTAACTTTTTATTATGCATTATCTATTTTCTTTTAAAGCTTTAAATCAATTAACTTAATTTTTTAAATTTAGTTTTTAAGTTCTAAAAGTTATAAAAATAGAAATTTAGCAATATAAATAAAAATAATTGTTTATAGGATAGCATTGTTGTAAACTTGGAGCAAATTAAAAATCAATTGACAGCTATAACAGCCTTACAGGAAACTGCAAATAAATTGTTCATAACGTGGCCAATAAACAAATTTGGTAAAGAATTTATAACTTGTACTATACAATTTGCAATTTAAAAGATTCTGTAGACGTAGGTTCAAACTGTTTATAATATTAGTATCTTTTGCTAAACATATATATATATATATATATATATATATATATATATATATATAAGCTAATATATATCTATGATATATCAGTGTGTTGATTAATAAGATGGTGCAAGTACAGATTTTGTCATATCATTTTTGTGTCATTACATATGTTGTCTATGAATATGACTATGAATATAGCAGCAGATTTTTATCAAAAAGAGCATACATTAAGTTTTTCTAAATGTTTGTTTAAACATTTTATAGATTCCTATAACTTTCAGTCAATTTTGAAGTGAAATTTGATATAGTTTGAGCCATGCAGCTTCCAGAAACTTTTTGATAGCATTTTGTATTTATATCTATAATATATTCAATAACTGATATATTTTAATTATAATGTAAAAATTATTTCTTCTATTTTAAATATAATTTAACTATGCTTCAAATTTTTTAGGTGAGATAGCAGAAACTATATATGAGGCATATCATAAGGAAGCTAAACAGAAACGTAATTTACTTGAAAATATTGCTCACCATCATACGGAATCTTGGAAAATGTTTCATCTTGCAGCATGGGTACATCAACCTTTATTACCTGAAAATTTAACAATATTATTGAACTCGTTGCTTGTTGAAACTGGTCATCGATGATGACAGTTTCTCAATAGTAATATTTAATTTTTCCTTATTTTAATGTGTCATTATTTAATGAATTAAAATAATAAATTAGACAAAATTAAGTCATATGATTTGATAATAAAAAAATGTATATAGTGAAGTTTGCAACTCAAAATATTGTAGAAAAATTCTCGAAACATTAATTGATATTGATGGAGCATATTAATATATTAAACTGAATATTTGTATATTTGGAAAGTTTTTCTTTTAATTTTTATACGTGTAAATAGCTGTAAGGATAGCCAAAAATTGAATATATATATGAAATACTTTATGAAATAGTTTATATTTCAAATCGACAATTACATAAACTATTAAAATATTTCCTAAAATACGTTTTTTTCGATTGCCTTACCTTTTATAGCTGGTTGTAAAGATAAATATTTATTAAGATTCTACCATTATAAAATAATTGAAAATTATGTCTTTTGATTATATTTTTTTATCGCGCAAAAGTTGGATCATATTTAACTTTGTCCTTGCGGCAATATGATTGGTTATCATGTTGACACGGGTAGTCAGGAAGATGCTAGAGATGCTTCAAATTGTTCGATTAATTGACGAATGAAGATAGAAAGAATAAAATTTTCTTTATTTAATTAATTTAATTTTTTAAATTCCTTAATTTCTTAATTTTAAGAGTTATTGCATACAAAATGACATAACATATATATATATATATATATATATATATATATATGTATATAATATAAAATCATCTGGACCAATGAGCATCAAGCTTAGTGACTCGTATGCCAGAGTAATCGGTAGTCCAATGAGGAAATTTCTTTTTTCAAAAAGAAATTCTCTCATTGGATCATCGGATGCTCGACATCCGACACGAATTATAAAACTCATTGTAGACCCGGCTTCATGCATTAATGTGCAAAAATCCTTACATACGTACTCATCATAAAAGATCCGTCTGGATCGTACGTTATTTCGTGAATCGGAGTGAACGAGAGGAAAACGAAAAAACAACGTACGTGCATTTCTAAATCTTGAAATTACTCAAGTATGTATCCAAATAGAACGATATCACTCGTAGAAATGTCGGGAAAGTTGTCGGATGTATTTCTCTTTTCGAGTGCGAAATTACGACGATCCTAACCTCCGCGGAAGACACGCGCTACAGATCGTTATCGTACAATTTTGCGCGCACGCGGATGCCTGGCGATGTAGCCGGCCGGTTTGACAGCTCGAGTCTCGTCACGCGATTTCATCTACCTCGCGCGACATATCTTACTTTTCGCTTTCGAGTGTCTCCTAATCATTTTTCCGTCTGTGTCGGGCTTTTTGTTTACTGTCACCGTTACTTTGAGGTTATTCGTATGTATAATTAATAGCGATGGTTATATTGACAGTGAGAATCTTTTGTGCGCTTATTAGCAAGACGTTTCTCTTCGATGTGGCTTTGACATGCTTAAAGTCACTGTCCATAAAAATGTATTTTGTTTGCTTTAGGACGATAATTTTATATCGTACTTTAGTCGGATGAAATATATATTCGCGCGTTGCTTCTGTTGGACTTTTTATAAATTTCAATTAAGATACTTTATTAGTAGAAACTTTTTTGTATTTTTTTCTTTTTTCTTTTTTTTTTTAAAGAAATGCGTGTATTATGCAATAATTGATTATATATTTATAATTGATTATATATTAATAATTGATTTATATATTTATTTATACATACACATATACACACACATATATATAGCTTTTGTAAGGGGCAGATTTTTTAATAATGTTTTCAGCTGATTTTTATATATTAGATATATAAAAATACTTCATTTATACATTAATTTAGATAGTATTATACATTTATTCATTAATTAATATAGTATATATATATATATATATATATATATATATATATATAGAATTTTTAATAAAATTTGTTATACGATGAAATCTCATTGCAATGAAAATAGAATTTTAATCTTTAAAATAGAATTTAATAAAATTGATATGATAAGACCTTATTGCAATAAAATTCTTTAAAATAAAATTTATAATATGTTGATATTTCCAGGTAAATAATGGCAAATGCAGAATCGCTTGCAGAAGTAACTGATGTTGTACAAATTCTTCGACAATGGGAAGATGAGCATAATTCACCAATGTATGATCCTATTCCTGTTCTTCAGAGATTAGCGGATATAATAGAACTCGAGACAGAAAACTATATGAAGATGGATCCAGATCCATTTGATGAAAGACATCCCTCACGCACTGATCCAGAATGTAATTTTGGGCATATATTAAAAATTTTATTTAGGAAGGATAATTTTATGACAAAGGTAATTGTCTATATGTTACACACACACACACACATATATGTATACATACACAGAAATATATAGGCCAACATTTATGAATATTTTCAAAATAATTATCCTATCAAGTCTTATATGAAAGAAATTTGTTTTTTATTTTAATATAAAATAAAATAAAAACATAATATAATTATCAAAAAATGTAATATAATTAAAAAAAGATTTTATTAATTATATAGCTTGAACAGATAGCACGCAAGATTTGATTAATAATTTAAATTATTTTTATTATCCCCACTATAAGTACCTCAAAATTTTCATCCTTTTTTCATTATATCAATGTCTTAATAACATAACGTTGATTTACAGTTAATAAATGACTATTTGAGGGATACATACTGGTCTCGTGCAGGGATAACTGGAAGAGATGTCAGAAAATTGAATATCGCCGCCTGCCGTTTGATGCTAGATATACTTCCAGGATTAGAAACATCAGCGGTATTTCAACCAGATATGGAAGGCCTTATACACAGATTATTCTCTTGGTCGGAAAAAAGTGTCGAACCGTTACAGAGCTACTCAACTGGTCTTTTGGCGGCTGCTATGGAAGTACAAGATATCGCTACAGGATTTAGAGATCAGAATGCTAAAATGGTACCGTTGATGCTGCAACGATTACACAAATTACAGCAAAAAGCGTACGAGGATCGTCAACAGAAAGCGCACGAAGATCGTCAGAAGAATACCAGGCCGTTCGCTCACTTCGGACAGGATAGAAACAGCATTGTCGATGTCGAAGATAAGGCTATCCCCGGGAAACATAAGGCGCGAGAGAAGTGGCGGAGAAACGGAAATGTAAGGAAGCAGGAATCGCTCTCTTCTGATGAGGATGACTCTACGCACCATTCCAACGATATGCCAGCCATAAAAAAGAAGAGAAGCAATTCTGGTTGTGAAACACCTGTGAAAAACAGTGATTTGTATCCCCAGATCATGTCCCCGCCTCTGTCTATTCCGAAAAATACAAACAATTCTGTTAACTCGGGGGTGACACCATCCAAGCAAAACAATCTGCAATTGAGGCTTGCGAACGTACCGGCGTCCGCCAGATGTAATTTGCAGAAGTTATCCAATCTGTCGCAGAATTCCAGCACATTGCTGGAAGGTAACTCGAATTCATCTTGGGCCGAAATGGAATCGTACGTCATTGGTAATGTTCAAATGTATCCTCCTACTCTGGCGACTCGACAGATGTTGATCCTACGCTACTTAACTCCCATGGGAGAATATCAGGAATTCCTAGGTCACGTATTCGAGCACAGCGCTTTGGACTTAATATTGAAATATATCAATGTACGAGAGACTAAAGACAGCAGGCTCGCTTTCGAGGCTCTTAAATATCTCGCGTCCTTATTGTGTCATAAGAAGTTTTCGATTGAATTTCTCAACGTCGGCGGTTTACAACGGCTGTTAGACGTGCCAAGACCGAGCGTCGCAGCAACAGGTGTGTCTATATGTCTGTATTATCTCGCGTACTGCGAAGACGCTATGGAACGAGTGTGTTTATTGCCAAAACACATAATATCCGATCTTGTAACTTATGCATTGTGGTTACTGGAACGCAGTCACGATTCCGGGCGATGTCATGCGACTATGTTCTTTGGTTTTTCTTTTCCATTCAAAGTCATATTGGAAGAGTTTGATGCGCAAGATGGCTTGAGAAAATTATTTAATGTGGTAAGGAAAATATATATTATCAATCAATGTTTGTGTTTATTGCAAAATAAACTTTACGTTATTTCCTTCTATCTACTTGTTTTATTTAAAAGAAAAATATTATAGTTTTATTGCAAAAAAGAATATAAAAACAGATCTAAACTATTCTTTGCATGTAAGAAAAACTAAAATATAATTTTACAAGATACAATTTTACTAAATTAAATTTTACAGATATCTACATTACCAATTTTAAACATTGAAGAAGAATCGACTATAAACGACGATGAAGAATGTGCATCGCGACAGATTGTACGACATGTAGCTGTTGCTCTAAAAAGATACATGGAAGCGCATTTGCACATGAAAGCAGAACAATTACAACGAGCAGAAAATGTTAGGGCTGAACGCGATACATGGCAACCTTCGTTACCACCTTATAAGGTATAAAAAATATTTTGTGTAATTATGCATTTGATTTTAATTACATAGTAATTATATGAATATCTCTCCCATAAATTCGCTTTTTAATTTTTGATATTTTTGAATATTTTATATGAAAATCTATGCTTGTTATTAAGTGTATGTAATATATTGTATCTAATATTTAAATTTTCTGTTATATTAATCTATTTGAGAGAAAGAAATTTGATTTGTATAAATTTTTAATAATTTTTTTTTATAATAAAATCAAATGCTATCTTTTGGAAGTTACTACTTTGATTATGTATGTCAAGATTAAGGACACTTGCAAGTGTTTTATATTAAATTGAACATTTACTATTCTTCAAATGTCTATTCTAGGCATGCAAACTTAGCAGTGAAGAAGTTCAAGCAAAGGTGGAACTCCTTCAAGAATTAATGTCAGTCAGAGCAGTGTGGCCACCAGTGGAAGAACTTCATCGCTTGGGTGGTATCACATTGCTTTTGCAAATCATAGCTTTTGCTCGTGAATGGAATTACAGCGGACGGTAAGACGTATACATGTACATTAAGAAAAATTTGTTAAATTATTTATATAATTTATAGGAATCTCTTTTATA